TGTCCAGACACGAACTTATATGTTGGTTGTCTTTACATTATAATAATATTTCATATAATCTAGATATGGAATAAATAGCATTCAATACAAAATGAATATGTCTCATATATTGAAATCAAGTTTTATGTGATAAAATATTTGCTTTGTTGTGCATTAGAACCACAGTCATATATTACAAAATAATTTATTGAAGCATCCAGATACTTCACCACGTGACAGCAGCAAGCAGCTAGGCTCCTGATTGGTTAACGCGGCGCGAATTGACGCAGAAGTTCAGATTTTTCAACTCGGGCGGCAGACGCGAATTCGCGTCAAACGCGTGAATGCACAAATAGCACTAACTAAATCATTCGCGCTTAACGCGCCAGACGCTCAATTCGCCCCATTCGCGCGAACTTGACGCGCGAATGAGGCGTATTCGCGTCTGCCGCGCTCTACGCCTCATTCGCGCCGCAGGAATTTTTTACGCGCGTAACGCGTCTTTGCATTGACTTAACATTGAAATCACTCGCGCCTGACGCGCTATTTGCGTCCGGTGTGAACGCACCATTACAGTTACTTTGCATGCGAGTGTTGGTGAGTCACTCACAACAACTGTTTGTTTTTGTTCATTTTTTAAGACATAGATCTGAATCTTGATACGCCAGTAGTGTGCATCTTTGGTGTTTGTGGTTGCAGGGTCGATAAAGAAATCACAGTGAAACACAAGGAGCTGACTGTTCTCCCTGGGGCATTAAGCAGTCAGTAAGCAAGCAGAGCTGACTGACTCTCTAGACTGCTCAGATAATCTCCACTGTTTAGTCCCATTTAGGGATGAGCATTTTTGACTTCTATATAACACATCTCATATGAGATTAATCAGATATTCTTGATACACGGCATTAACATAACACTACGGCAGTGGGGCGGCAGTGGCTCAGTGGTTCATGTAGGTTGTCTATAAACCAGAAGGTTGGTGGTTCAATCCCTGGTTCCACCTGACCAAGTGTCGAGGTGTCCATGAGCAAGACACCTAACCCCAGCTGCTCCCGACGAGCTGGATGGCGCCTTGCATGGCTGACACCGCCGTCGGTGTATGAATGAGTGAGTGAATGGGTGAATGTGAGGCAAAATGTAAAGCGCTTTGGTGGCCATTGGGTCTGTGAAAGCGCTATATAAATGCAGCGAGTGCTAGAACTCGCTGCATTTATATATAAATGCGCTCTTCCCAGAACAACGCACTGAAACACGGGCAACTAAATATTCTCATTATTATGTTATGTACAGTATTTCATTTTGCACTTAACTGTGTTTTCATCTACTTTAAGTGATTATAGACATCCCTGTGCATTTTTCATGACGAGAAAGAATTTTAATGAAAACATAAGCGCACTGTTGAAAAAATATGCAGAGATAAAACTGAACACTGTAGGGATGCTCCGATCGGCCGCAGAACAGTATCGGCCAATAATCTCATTCTATGACTCGATCGGTAGTCACTAAATTTGGCCGATCTCACAAGCCAATCTCAATTTGATGACGTAAAACCGAAAAAAGACGCCTCTGATTTGCATGTGAACTATACAGATGAGTATATACAATCATAACAATAATGTTGGGCATTGCCATTTGAGCTAATGCTGAAGAGTTAATGAACACCAATAAACTGAAGCACTTAGCTAGCTGGTTAATAAATTCAACAAAAAACATTCTATATGTAGGGGTGTGCGATATAATTGTCTGCGATAATATCGTAATTGTTGTTTTAACAATGTGCGATTTGACATTATCTAGTATAGCCTATCCCTTGTCCTATTATAGACATCCCTTGTCCCATTATGGATTAGCACCACTAGTTGAGTTATGCTGGAATGTTGTAGCCAGCCAAGCATTTGTAAAAACATTACATAATTAGTTATCTTATAGTGGAAACTTACAGATAAACTTGTTTTATGATAGTCTTTTTTTGTTGCCAAAAATTCATCTTGGGATTTTTGAAGCAGATAAAAGACAATGTCACTAAACTTAAGACCAGGATGAAGGGCACATAGGACCCTATGAAATCCGTTTTACTTTTTCCCAAATTCCGTTTTATTTTTTCCCAAATTCCGTTTTTTCCATTTTAATTTTTGGGAATTCATTTTTTTTTTACCCTTTACTGTTATTTTAGTCATAAAAAGAGTGTGCTTTTAAAGTTAATGGTTAAAATGTATACAAATAAAATAGGAATGACCTTAAATTATAGACATTTACTCAGTAGCCTTTTCAGGACAAATACTGCATGATGCAACATGACACTAAACTCTTCAAGTAACAACAAAATATGGTTATGAGCTTTAAACTGTCCAGTAAAATAAATTATATTAGTTTAAAGTTTAAATAAAAGTCACACTCTGTCTCTCTCTCGCCCAGTGTCGCTCGCGGAGTTTGCTTCGCTTTTGTCCAGTCAGGCGCAGACGCGGTGTGTTTGTGTGTGTGTGTGTGTGTATGTGAGAGAGACGCGTGAGTGAGAGAGATGGAGGGAGAGCGGGGAAAGGAAATACAACGGAAAGAATACGATGCGTGATTTAAATTGCGTATAAAAAATAAACGAAACGCAATATGTGGCGGCCGGAGTTGATTTTGTGGCCGCGAATTAGTCTATGTGTGGGAAACACTGCATAAAAGTCACGTGCGAACTGCTCGGCTCGGTACTGAGGGCTTATAGCGTCGAGTTTCTTAACTTTTTCGCCGAGGAAAGCAGAGCCGTGGGAGCTGCTTTTCATTGTTTTGATGCCGTCATTGGAGCTGAAATGACGGGAGGTCCCCCGGTCTGCATTTTCACCAGACATATGGTCTTCTCCCACACAAAAACAGAATTTCAATCCAAATATGTAAAATTCCACGAAATTCTGCGTTAACACTAGATTCCGCGTTAATTTGCCAATTCCGTAATTCCGTCCGCGATTCCGTGATCGCGGAAATCATAGGGCCCTAGGCACAAATTATTCTTTGCATTGGTGTGGCAGGCTGCTAATATTGATCATAGGCTATTGACATGGTATCTGAAGTCTCAAATGTCTCATTGTGAAACTGCTTCATGATATTCTTGAGTATAACGCCTGTGTCTTTAGCTGACACTATAGAACCTACTACTACTAGGGAACTCTTTATCCTAAACTGGACAATGTTTATAGACAATAAATGTCATGGTACTGTCTTTTGCATATGCACAGAGGAGCAATTCAGTCATTATGCGCGTTGACGATAACACATTCATTGCAGCTGCCGCACAGTATGATTTGGCTGTGACATTACTAGTGAGTGACCAACTCTCAAGCAATAACTACGAGGGAGCGAGATAGAGTATCATAGGAAGTGGTCAGCTGGACTGTGACTGTGCACTAAACTAATTAAAGGAAAAAATTTGCCAAGCTATCGTACCGCCTCTTTGCTGGCTAGAAACCGTGCACTGGTGGTAAGTAGATGTTGTTGGACTTGGTCTGGAACATGTGACGCTGCTGTAGTTGAAATTGCCTGTGACTCATAGTATCCAATCTAGTACCAAGAAGCCTTTGTATCCCCCTGAGTTTGTGACACATGGTTTCTCCCTTGTACAGGGGCCCTTCCTCGAAAGACAGCCCCTATAGCATTATGTTATTGGAATTGTGAACTGTCTTTCTTGGGTTGAGGGAGTTCTCGCAGGGAAGGAAGCCTTACTTCTTGTCACGGTCAAGGAAGTTTTTAATGAATGGTAGGGTGGAGTGTGTGTGTGTTCAGTGCAAAGCAAGCTTCCTTAAAAATGGGCTTTTGAATTTTGTTGAATTTTTTTTTGACCCATTTCTCTTTGATCCGGGTTTTATTCTGCTTCTGTTTTATTTGTCCTCCCCTGTGCTGAACCTGTTTGTAGTGTACTGAAATTAAAGTAATCTCAAAAGAATGCTAAGTCAGTATGAAGTGTCACTGGTACTGATAATAACACAGGAAGTGTTGTTGCATTCGTTAAGACCACAGGAAGAGTTGTGGGAGTGTGTAACATCACAGGAAGCCTACTGATATAGATGTTGTCTGCAGGTAAGTTTTCAGAAATACTAGAGAACCAACTAAATGCATAGATGAACATAGGCTAACACTTGGAGGGTTTTAGTGTTGCGACTGCCTCTGCCTGTTGTATTATGGGTAAAGTTTTTTACAAGACACTATAATGATTAGACTGAGAATCTGAAATGGTGAGATGCTAGTGTGCTGATTGCTGAATCATTTATTTATGACTAAAACTTTCACTTCTTTCTACTTTAAAGAATTAATTCTTTAACTCTGGGTGCTATGCTAACATGTTTTGGTAGGAGCACTCTGAAGCTCACTTGTCCTTTATTGGTGATTTTTTTTTTTTTTTTTTTTTTTTTTTATATGCAATTCCTATTAAGGTGATGCTTTTTCTCATGAATATTTCATTTGCCCAGTAGGCCAAACTTGTTAACTGAAGGCAGACGTTAAATGTGCATTAATCAGATGATGAATCCTATTATAGTGAATGCTTGAATCATGAATATGTATTAAATTACTTGACTGGCTGCTCCAGGAACTTTACCAAGCAACATCTGCATAACTCAATTAATATTCACATACTAGCTATACCATAATTTTGCTTTAGACGTACATGCAGGATGTTTAAAATGTAGTTTATTCCTGAGGGCAGAGCTGGATTTTCAGCATCCATTTACTACAGTCTCTGTCACTTGATCAATTTAATGTGTCCTTGCTGAAAAAATTAATTTCTCCAAAAAAAGAAAAAAGAATTCTTACAGACCCAAGTTTTTGAACAGTAATGTATATATTAATAATATTTACATGCATGTTAATTGATTATCAAAATAGTTACAGTTTGGAGTTTTGTATGTGCCGTGCCCTTCTGTCTTGTCCTTTCGATCTCCCACAGAAACTAACCTTTACACTGACTGGCTTCACTGTTTGTGTTTTACCTGCAGGTGTTAATGTGTCATCATTGACCTCTTTCTATCTCTCTCTCTCTCTCTCTGCAGGTTTGTGCGGAGGAGTCTATGTATCGGTATGGAGTATAGTGCCGATTGCAAACTGGATGACAGGGAGTGCAGACAAGCCACACTGATCACTGGTGTACAGTGACTGTTGCTGCAGACATCAGCAGGATTCCGTCCTCTCTATGCTTTTACCTCTTACTTCATCAAGCAGGACTCTTCATTTCTTGGTTTTTGGACACCTTTTGTGAGTTGCCTTACCCCCCCCCCCCCTCCCCCCTTTCCCTTTTCTCTCCCTCTCTGTGGTTCTCCCTTGCTCCCCCTTTATTCTTTCCCTGTTGACCTCTTGATCGAAGTTGGATCAGCCTGTGAGCTAAGATGAGTTGGCTAAGTCGTTTAAATCCAAGGGGTCCAGGCACTCGGACCGGTCGACATGCAGCCCCGTCCAGCCCATGCACTGCCGACCCCGAGACCTGCCTTATGGTGTTTGAGAACCACTGGAGACAGGTGAGACACCACATAGGCTTATTTACCCTCATACTGATTGTGCAAATAATATACTTAGTACAACTGCAGTTATATAAATTGAAATTTTTGCACCATTCATATAAATTTTACATTTTAGTGAGGTGTTAAGAATTATTGGTTTGGTTAATACATAGTAAACTTTATTTTTTTTTCATAAGAAAGGCAAATGAGGGATCCTTTTAAAGTTAGCTTATATAATTTGTTTGCAAAACCATACTTATGTCTTACTCTATTTAGCATTATGGACTCAACAACATGTATAATCAAAAAGCAGGACATCTTGGGACCTGGCTGTTCCTGTAACTTTTCATTTAAATACAAATTTAACCCTGTAAAACCTGACATATGACATAATAGTCAGAATTTTTTTTATCGAACAGTTTATTGAACCTTGTAAAATCAAAAAAAGTTTTGTTTGTGTTTTTTTTTTTTTTGTGCAATTTTTCTGGCTTTTATGGTGAATAATATGAGCCATAATATGAGACAAACTGTGCACAGACTTGATGTATCACACTTTTATGTGAATAGAATATCGAACTGGAGATGGCAATACTGTTAGCTTACCGGTGTTTTCAGAAAGCCAGCTTTTTTTATCCACAGTGGAGACGGAGCGCGTGCACATGGTTGCCAGGTTTAGAAAAATAACACTTAGTAGATATTTCTGTATTGCACAAGTGTGAAGCTTTGATTGGGTGATTACATCCCATGATATCAGGCAAGGCAACCCCAGTTATTTTCCTCTGTAGGCCAGATTAAACTTGGTTCTAACCTATAAATTATATTATATTAATTAATTTCAGCACATTCCCACTCAAATTATTCAAATTAAGCATGGAATTGATACAGAAGGAGCTGTATCGATACTCGTATCGACAAGCAGTATGTGACGTCATCTTATCGATGTATCGAACACCGCCCTAACATCAATATAGACATCTATTCCTCTGTGGCTTTACCATAAATAGAATTGAACTGTTCCCTGTCTCCCTGTCAGGTGTCGGGTGTGTTGAAACGGAGAGAGTCTTCAGTGGGTGGTTGTGCCGATGATCTCACAGCAGTTCGCAATCACACAGATCAGATGCTGTGCCTGCTAGCTGAAGAGAGACCAGCTGGGGGAGACATTGAATCACCAGGTTAAAACACTCTCCTGTGAGCTCGATGGAGCATACATTTGTACTGTTTAGCATAATATAAATTAGTTTTTTTTTTTATGTGACAATGGATTGTGGAATGTCTGCAGCAATGGGTCCTATTCTGGAGATGGTGGTGGCGGAGAACATACTGGAAGAGTTGGTACAGTGGCATGTGCGCCATGGTCTGGAACCGGACAGCCAGCTAGAGCTGTTGAAACTGTTTGAGATGCTGATCGGGCAGTCACATCAGTCACTGCTCCTGCACAGTGCAGTGCTCCAGCCGCTGCTAAGCCTGCTGGGAGCATGTGTGGATCCCCAGCTGGGCTGCCCTTCTGCCCTAGAGTCCAGCCTCGTACTGCTGCTAAATCAGGTGTTTGATAGGCATATCCTGACACCTGTTTGAATATCGTGGAAATTAATTTTGCAGAATTTCGCAACATTCCTTGACAGCCAATCAGATTTTATTGTTGAGCTTACAACTGGGTTAGTGGCTTGTACACCACCGAAACCTATCAATTCCATGTAATTTATGGTTTAGGTTATTGTTAAATTTTGGGAGTGGGTTAGAATTATTATTATTTTTATTTTTTTGGACAACTTTGTCTTTCAGGGACCAACCAAACATTCTGCAAAATTACGACATGCGATTACAATCAGTCAGAGCTGCACGATTCATTGTTAAAAGATCACGATCTCGATTCAAACACACAATCTTATTCCTAAATGACAACGATTCGCCTGTGTCTATTAAAACTTTTACACACTGGAAGTTGTCCTGTATTATAGATATGAAACCACTTCACAAACAGTCTTTTCAACCACACAGTATCGGTATTTCTGTAGATTCTCATAGAAGAACTGAAATAATAGTTTATAGATCCTCATTTACAGTTTTTAGTGCGAATAGCATATGTATGTTCCGCCACTCTGTCTTAATTTCCTTTTTGTTTGAGCTATATAAAAATTCACATTCCAACCTGTAAGTTACATAAGAGGAAGATAAAATATTCAATTGGATATACTTTTCCAGAAAAAAACAACAGTGAAAGTTTTTGTTTTTAACATGTATTGACGATGCTTGCACCCTCCACACATAAAATCACCCACTAAAGAACCAAGCCATGTTTTACCTTGTTTCGTATAGTGGGGCATGTCTAAAACTAACCATTGGTATTTCTGGAAAGACGGCCCTAAGTGTGCTGTCACTTTCGATAATGTTTCAATTGGAATTTACAATATGTTTAATTTGTGTTGCCTCTCAGCTATAAGTCATTAAAAAGGAAACACGATTGGATATATTTGAGGAACATTGTTGCGTTCTTTTTTTTTTTTGTGTGTGCTAAAATTGGTTTCTGTCCATAGATTTAACTCTTAACTTTCTCTGTGGCACTTGTAATACTTATGAATTATATACCCCTTCTGTTGAAATCTATTTGTCGTATCCTGAAACTGAATTTTATTTTCACTTTCTGATCACAAATACGTTTTAAGTCTTCTCATATGTTGCTTCAACTAAGGATTATATCAATTACATTGTTACACCAGTAAGCAACAATTGACTTTGAAATAAAAAATAAAAAAAACTAATTGATACATTCATTCAAGAGATTCGATCAGAAACGCTGATTCATCTAGTAATGAAAAACGTCTTTATTTAGTGAGTCATTGAATCAGTCATTCAAAACCGACTAAAAAAAAAAAAAAAAAATTATTCATTCAAATTAATTAAACATTTTTAAATAGACTGCAGGAATTAACATTTTGTCAGAACCTCTTGTTAATTGCACATTATTTTTAGTTGTCTGTTCAGAATCGTGATCTCTATTTGAAACAAGAACAATCCAGAATCATGCAGCTCTACAATCAGCACAGAAACAAAAGCAGATGGAATTAAATGGGCCAAAATATGAGCCCAAATTAGACCGGCAGGGGAAAAACAGCTGTAATGTACAATAATTTCATGCATAATTAGATATTAATTTGTGTTTTTTAACTGTAAATCATTTGTGTTTGTGTTAGGTATGTGTGTCCATGGTGAAAGAAACTGCCATTTTGGAGTTGTTATTTAAGTGTGGGCCGGTACAGCAGGGTCCCACTAACCTGCTGATCTTCTCACTGTTGGTGCCATTTATCCATCGAGACGGCTCTCTGGGGCAGCAGGCCCGTGACGCGCTACTCCTCGTCATGGCAACCTCTGCCAGCAACCACGCTGTTGCACGCTACATCGCTGAGAACTCCTACTTCTGTCCAGTAAGCATGAGTGTGTTTGTTGTTGTGTGTGCTTACCTCATCTTTTCTGTTCTTGCTTTTGAAAATGTGCTTGTATCCTAGATTATTTATGATTAAAGGGCAGAGAAGAGTTAGAGAAGCAGACTTTAATTTGTATATTCCTTCTGTTCTTTTCTTTTCTCACTGTTAGCATGTCTTTATGAATATCCATTCTGTTCATGTTATGATGTTCGATCATGTATGATTTTGTCTGTGCCATGCATTTTGAATGTCGCTTGTTGATTTCATATGTGCCTTTTAAAGCTGTTTCTGTGGAGACATAAAATCCTGTAGTATTTTCTCTGGGTTGCATTCTATTGGCTTCTGTGGAATGAAAAAGGCCATTTGTCATCTGTAGTTGTGCTCTGTGACTACAGTGTTTGACTACAGTGTTGGTTCCAGTGGATGTGCTGCTTTCCTCCCCTCTGTCCTCTTTCCTCACGAGAATAATATATGAGCCTTCATGTGACCCACTTAACACATACGACTGGAGGTCTCTAGGACTCCATGCTACTGCAGTGCCTCAGTCTCTTAACATTTCTCTCTCTTACTTTCTTTTTCTACTGTATGTCACATATAGCTATTTTTATGCCAGAGATGCATTAGATCTTGCTGCCAGTTTCTTTGATTGCCTGTTTTGTGGCTCTAGAAGACATGGCCAAGTTCCACATATAAAACCAGCCCTGACATGAATGATGTTCTTCAACATATTTGAGCATTAAGGTGTGGTCACATTTACTGATGTTCAGCGAATTTTCATGTTCGAAATACAATCATTTCAGTAGGAATCCACGCAGTCGGAAAATTCGTATAGGGTTTAAGGTCATGCGAATATGCCACGTTGACAAACAGGCTTGACAAGCTTCTTGGTTTGTAATAGGGGTGGGAGAAAAAATCGATCCATCGATGCATCGCGATTCTCTCTCCAACGATTCTGGATCGATTCTGAGAATTCCAGAATCGATTCTGAGCTTAGTTTTTAACCAGATGTGCGATGACGTTGAGTTTGCTTTAGAAACACCCGTATTCTGCTTGCTTCCAATTCCTCACACACATTCACCACTCGAACCTTCCGTAAATAATCTTTCATAAAGTTCGGAAAGGTTGAAGCGAATTACAAGGACATTCACAGGCTTCATTGCACAGGATACGCTGTGAGAGACGTGCGCTTTCTTTGTTACACTTGAAGTGTGCTGTCTCGCCCGTCGGTATTTTCCTTACAAATGCTCTACGAAGTCATCATTTATGTGGTTTGGAATGGAGTGGACTTATATATTTAAAATATGAACCTCACTAACAGAAGGCTGCTTTCAATTTCAAATGCTGACGCGCGCTTTGTTTGTGAGACTGCTCGCGCATGCGGCTGTGCGACTCCGCGACTCCGTGTAGTGGTTTAATGTAGCCTACTTGTGCAAAATTAACGTAAACACAGCCAGTTATGTCTTAAGGGATTAAACGGACAGGACACACCGCATTACTTCTTTTATTTCAAAAAAGATGCGTGCGTGAATGCAGCTTAATAGATCTCCCGCAGTCTATGATGTCACAGTTCTTGAATGGAAAACGTTCAGATAATCTATAGGCTACTGAAAGCACTTTTTGTTTGTTGTTTGTTATATTTTTCTATGCTCCTCTTTATTATTTGTTATATTAGTTAGCCTATATTAGTTTAAAATGCTTAACATACAACTGTTTTAATAAAAAAACAATTAATTTGTAATTATTTTTTAAAAAGTACTTAATTACTTATGTAAACTAATTAATTAATAAGGGGGGGGGTAGATAAAGAATCGTTCTGGAATCGGATCGTGACTTCCAGAATCGGAATCGGATCGGATCGTGAGGTGACCAAAGATTCCCACCCCTAGTTTGTAAGTGAATTCTGTATGAGCAGTGAATCAATGCTACACTTGACAATGGACAGGAAATTTTGCCAATTCTTTTCATTTTTTTTTATACGACCATTAGGGGTGGGAATCTCTAGGCACCTCACGATTCGATTCGATTACGATTCAGAGGGCTGCGATTTGATGCTAAAGCGATTATCGATAATCGATTATCTGAATCTTTTTTTGTGTGTGTGTGTGTGTGTGTGTGTGTGTGTGTGTGTGTGTGTGTGTGTGTGTGTGTGTGTGTGTGTGTGTGTGTGTGTGTGTGTGTGTGTGTGTGTGTGTGTGTGTGTGTGTGTGTGTGTGTGTGTGTGTGTGTGTGTGTGTGTGTGTGTGTGTGTGTGTGTGTGTGTGTGTGTGTGTGTGAGACTATAAATACTTTGCTTTAAAAGTACCAAGTAATGACCCATAAAGAATTAATAAAGAATATATTTTATTAACATTGCAAAGAACCAACAGGAAAATAAATGTGTGCCTGAACTAGCAGCATGCTTGTAGTAAATTAATAAATATAACAATAACAAATTATAACAAACTTCAGCATATTCTGAATCTCTAACATAAAATGGACTTCAAACAAGCATCCCCCTTTTATCAGTATTGTCTCAGTCCCACTTATCTTTCCTGTCTTGCAGAAACCAAAATATCATATTACGGCCCTATTCCGCATGTCAGGTTTTAACGAGGAGGGTGTTTGGATTTCGCGCTCAGCCATTGCGTCTCTGTTATGTGCACGCCACAGACGGTCCGGGCACTGCACTTCCGCGCTTCAGAGTTCCATCTTTTGCGTTCCGTCAATATTACGTTATTATAAATATATATATTAATACATTTTTTTTATTATTATTTTATTTTATTTATTTATTATTATTATTTTTATTTTTTTGAAAATCGATTTTTGATATTTGTGAATAGATTCAGAATCGTCCACGTCCGCATCGCGATGCATCTAAGAATCGATTTTTTTCCCCACCCCTAATGACCATACCATTATTCTATGTTAAGATATCTGAGAAAGAATAACTGCCTTTGGAATAGAGATGGGCATTGTGAGGCAAAAATAATATTCAAAGATCGCTGGGTAGTATTCGATTATTATTCGAAAATCAAACCCCCCACATGCACGCACACATGCATGTATATGATACACACCAGAGCATGTGAGCGAAGCGGAGCAGTGTGACGCTTAAATATAAGTTAAAAAACGTAAACATACGTTTCATGTTTATGTTTAAATAATATAATGCTATTTTTTTATTTCATCTGTTGATTATATGAAAAGGGAACCGCATGAGATGAGTAAAGATAGGATCATAAGATGCCCAATATTCGGGAGACATTTGGAATGGGTCAGACATGATTTTGACCACTTAAGTTTTGTTTTGTAGAAAGCCTTTCTTTAAAGTGAATTTCCTTTTGTATAAATTGTATCTTCATTTTAATTATTGTTTCGTCAACAAATTGCCTGGATTAATAAATAAGAAGCAAATATAGTAGACAATATAATCAGAACACGAGGCGCCGACGTGTGAACTGGAGTGCGTCTCATAAATGAACCGAAACTCAGCGTATAAGCTACTTGCCTCACCAAACTACTTTTAAACAAAACAATTAAAAACGAAAAGAAATTTGCTTCTCTAGTCTCTGCTTATGTAGGCTAATTCGTATTAAGTGTGCATTTCTCTCTATAGGCGCGTTCACTACTGCGAAGATGGCATCGTCAACTTTATCTTTGCTGCCGACACTGACACAGAAAACATTAGTTTATTAATAAACAATTCAAATGTCTCATGCATAATCATTACTTTTGCCGGTTCTTTGTGGCTAGCTTTATGCGTGCGTTAAGATGCGGAATAGGCAATATATTACGAAAACGCTCATTATGATTTAGCATTCTCTCCCATATATATTTAATTAATTAAATTAATATAAAATATTTGATTAGACTAATGGCTTAAATGAACTACTACTAGTCGACTAGAAAAAAAACTTTAGTTGTGCACGGGCAGCCATACTTAATTCACATATTTTCTAACCAGCATGTCACAAAGGGCGTTCTGAGCGAGCAGGCCTGAGTGGACTGAGCGAGCGGCGCGTAATCTTCAGAAATGCGCTCTCCGCTCTGGAAGAAATATTACCACTCTACTCGCATGCTCTGCTGTGAGACAATGTGTATCTTCTTCTGTTGTCTGAGAGTTGATTGACAGCTTTTAGATGTGTTATTGGAATCGCCACCCTCTGGTTACATGAATGTGTCACCGCATCAGAGACAATCACATCATTAAAGACAATAATCGCACAACCTATTCGATATTCTATTAAAAAAAATCAACTAATCGAATATTCGAAAATCGTGACTCATCCCTAGTTTGGAATAAGAACCATATTCTTTGTTGTAGTATAGCAATAAATAAAAAAAACGTCCCGTGTGTTACAGTAATTGTACCACAGTTAAGGCCTGTTATTACACAAGGTGAAGCAGCCGTAAACTTAACAATAAGTTTACTTGTGCAGTTTATTAGTCAAAAGGGTTTGTTGCAAAATCTACAGACTTAGTTTGTTGCATGGCTTCAGATGTGCAAATGTTTTTACATCCAATCAGGTTTTAAAGCCATCACCAGCTGATGTTTAAAAGGCAGAGCTTGCTTGGTGAACTTTATGTAATAATGTTGGCAAATCCGCCCCCAGGTGCTAGCGACGGGGCTGAGTGCACTATATTCATCCCTGCCACGGAAAATTGAGGTACGGGGTGACGACTGGCACGCCTTGCGGAGGGAGGACTGGATGGGCGTCTCCTCTCTAGTGCTGTTCATGAACAGTCTTGAATTCTGCAACGCTGTAGTACAGGTGGCACACCCTCTTGTGCGGTGCCAACTCCTTGACTACCTCCACAACGGCTTCCTGGTGCCAGTCATGGGCCCCGCTCTGCACAAGGTGAACCATAATGAACTGGGCCCTGTTTGGCTTAGACAATATTGACAATATTCTTTTGAATGGAATTAATTTTCTCTATTTTTTTTTCTTCTCTCTCCTTTTGTCTCTGTCTCTTATGGTTCCTCTGTCAGTCGTCGGTGGATGAGATGATAGCAAGCACGGCATATCTGGACCTGTTTTTACGCAGTATCACAGAAACTTCCCTCCTTAAGACCTACCTGCGCTTCATTCTGTTGCATCACCATGACAACGACACCATCCTTGATACACTACTCACACGCATCAGCAGCAATTCACGGGTCAGTTTAGCACATGCTGTATCTGGGGTGCATGTATAGATGGAAAAGACACTGTTTTGTCAGTGCTGTTGGTTATGGAAATATAGAGCGTTGTTACTAAAGTTGCATTTTCCTCCCTCTCTCTCTGAAGCTGTGCATGGTCTCTCTGAGTCTGTTTAAGACATTGCTCAGTCTCAACTGTGAAGACCTCATTCTCCAGCTTGTTCTCAGGTATTTTGTGTGCTTGGGTGTGTGACTAATTTTGCAAGAGAGCCTAGAAAATAAGCTTTGGGTGTTTATAGATGGATTTGGACATTGCATCTTGCAAATTGAAATACTGTGAAAAAATTTGATCAAATTGAATGCATCCTTGGTAAGCATAAGATTTTGTAGATCATATATATGTGTTTTAAATATGAAAGGATTATAGTGCGTTATTATTGGTTTTATTAAGCAAGTGTCACTATTGCTCATACTTAGGGAAAGAGAATAAAATAATTATCATTTTGTGTAAAAGATAAAGCTGCTATGATTTTTCTTGTGTGTTTCCAGGTATCTGTTGCCATGCACACATGTAATGCTGAGTCAGCGGAGGGCAGTCAGAGAAACAGACCTCTATGGCAAATCAGCTGACAAGTTCCTTTCCCTGATACCAGAATGCTGCCGAATCAATTCAGCACCCTCTAGTGAGCGGGATGATGAACCTGCCTTTTGGGGAAAGGGTAAGAGTAAGCATGCGTCAGGCACATTTACGGACACAATAGATGTGCTTTTAGACTTCTGAAATAACATTGCTGAAGTTCATACCTACAACATGTACTTTCTGTCTGTTTTTGCCTATAGTGTTGGGTAGTCCTACTTCAGAGTCACCAGTTCACCACAGACCCAGCACTCCTTCCCGCCTTGCTCTCTTTATTCGACAGCAAAGCTCAGGAGGCCAAGCCAACTCTTCTGGCTCGGAGAATGCTCCCCCTTCTCCTCGTGGTAGTGTTTCTTCCCCTCTTTCTTCTGACAGCCCCATGCACCAACTCCCAGACACTTCAGAAGGAGAGACTGGCTACCTAGAGTATCTGCGTGAGGCTCGGAAGGGTATTGAGCTCTGCTCTTGGGCCTGTCGAGACTGGTCGGCACCTTATGATGGAGAAAATCCTTCTCCAAACTCTGTTCCTCCTCCACCTCCCCCTCCTACGTCCAACCCCTCCCTCAGTATGGTACCAGAGCATTTCTCTGTAATGGACCCCGCTCAGCAGAGGGCAGCAGTGGTGGCTGCAGCTCGTTCCGAGTGGAGCAGTTCAGATCGAGATAGTGGAGAGTGGGATGTTACCATCAGCAAGAACTGTATCAGTCTGACACCCCGCAGTAAGAAACGCAGCCTTCTTCCCAGCACTGTACCCCTTCAATCTTCTGCATCAGTCTCTACAGAAATAACACGTGCTGTGGAAACCGTGTCCCAACACCCTCTTTCAGCACCTCATCCAGCACTCTACAATGGGATGGGGCAGGTGGAGTTCACAGACAGTGTGGATGAGAGAATGGAGGTTAAGAAAGTGAAGAGGGAGTCAGATGTAAATAGCGGTGTGGTTGAGTCGGGGATGAACGGGTCGATGGGTATGGGCCCGGTCGACTTCAAAGATTTCCATGTAGGAACGGCGCTGAAATCATCTCAGGTGCAGTTGAAGCCACATCTGCAACATCAAACCTCCGTGCCCTCCTCTGCACAAGAGTCTCTGCAAAGTGAGAGCCAAAGATTGTCTCCTGTTCTTGGCTTGACAGAGACCTCCACAGTGCCCCGTGACAGCAGGGCTCCAGAGTCCGTTGAGCGTCTGATTGAGGAGTTGCTGGAGCGGGCACCGTCAGAGCCATTGCCTGGTGACTCGAAAGGCCAGGGAATCAGCATTGAGGCTTTCCACCAGGAGCTGAGGGAGCTGGAGGAACGTGTAAGAGAGAGGAGGGTTCTTTCACACAGCTCGGAGGAGTCCTCTCGGGAATCCCGCACTGCTCCTGCTCCCAGCCTGACAGATGAAGACTGCCTTCCAGTGGAGACTGAGCAGCGCTCCAGTGAAACAAAGCCTGACAGCTCTACCACTGGGGTATTTAGCCCCGCACGACCCCTCGGACAACCTCTTGCTCAACCGTACACAGGTTCTCGATGTAGAGATGACCAAATTAAAGATTTGAGTGCTTATGTTACCAAGTTCAGCAAGAGCTAACCATAAGTCACTGGTTCCGCTTCTCCCTCTGTGTAGGTCCATTTATAACAGTCCTGTTCAGTAAACTGGAGAGTATGATGCAGAACTCCCTATATGTGAACATTTTGCTGACGGGCGTTGTGTTCCAGCTGGCCTGTTACCCTCAGCCACTCCTACGCTCTTTCCTCCTCAACACCAACATGGTGTTTCAGCCCAGCGTTAAATCACTCATACAGGTAATACATAAAGAACAAATATGACTCTATCAGCATGACTGCTTGATACGAAATATGCAATGACTGAATCATTCTCAGTTGCTCTTTTTATTGGTTTCAACATGATCAAAACAAAATTGTTTTTGTTTTCTCTCTTAAAACATGATCCTGGTTTTATTGAGGACATTTTATTGGTGTACATTATTCCAAAGAAAACCTTTCTTCAAAACAAAATGTCATAACTTTTTCCACCTTTCTCTAATTCTTGCTGTTTTATGTTGCCTGAAAATCTTCATTTGTTTTGACAGCTCAAAAACTGCTTGGTTTATTTTGACTTGGCTTTCTCTGGCATTTTTTTCTTTCTTTTAGAATTAAATGATATTAATCTGTTTAATGTTCTGGGGTGAAGCTTGAGTAAGCAATTAATTTACAATTTGATTGACTGAATTTGATTAGAATGAAACATAAATCCATTGCATCAAAAGGAATATCCAAGATGTTGGTTTTACTTTCACTTTCCACTTCTCAGGTGCTGGGATCAGTAAAAAATCGCATTGAGGCATTTGCAGCAACGCACGAGGATTTCCCTGCCCTGTTAAGAAAGGCTCGCCGTTTTCTGGTTGCGAGAGGAAAGTTAGACTGGTCCGACTCACCCATGGGAGTGCCCAACCTCCGTCGATCAGACTCTTTAAGTAGGTGAATGAGAGGCGATGAAAACTCTCAGAAACAAAAATGAGAGATCATAGTTTGTGTCTTCTTGTAAAGATCAGTTGAATACAAGATGTTTTGATGCGACATGTTTTTGTGATATTTGCTTTTGTAAAGGATAATGTACAGTCAGTTGGTCATTATGGTCTTAAATTTGGGCGTGGAAAATAGGAATTGCGATAAGGCCTAGTGTGATTATTAAGCTTCAAATGGCTGTGATTGAATGTGAGCCCTGCATTATTCATAAAATATTTTTTCTGGATGTTATTAGAGTTTTGGTTACACTATAAACTATCTGGCGTTTAATTCAACATAAACTCTTGTGGCTTCTCTCTGGCTGCCTGTCACAGTATATAGATTTTTCTAATATAGGCACAATTATCTTTTTATATTTATCTTTCTTTGAACACATTATTATTGTATCAGCAAAATCCAATATTGATCAACCTCTAATTCATATGTATTTCCATATTTCGTGTATATATTTAGTGTCTTGAGTATTTTAAATTTGAATTTACCCTGTTTTGCAGTTGAATGTGTGCCACAGCCTGTTTAAAATATACATTATTTATTTTGAGATAGTATGGGTTTGTTCTGTATGGACATGCAATATTGATTTTATTTGTGCAGGTCTCAAAAGAAGGTTATAAAGTCTTAAATTTAATTTTAAAACTCTGTAGATACCCTGTTGATTTCTTCTCTCTATCTCTCCAACAGTTAAAAGCCGAAAGCCATCTCTGGGCGATCTTATCTTGAGGCATACCAACAGTCCTACGAGAGCTCGAAATGCAGCTCAGTTGGCCTTGGCCCACGTTAGAGATGGAGGGCAGTCCCTGCACAGTGCTTTGTTCCGGGGTGGCGCGGCCGGTGGGGTTTCTGGCCTGGAGAAGCAGGCAGAGGCACTAAGGGTGAAAAACGCAGTCTACTGTGCTGTCATTTTCTCAGAGTTTCTCAAAGAGCTCGCAGCTCTTGCACAGGAGCATGCCGTAGCCCTACCCTTCCCACCCAGTCAAGGCACTGAGGAATAACACCAGGCCAAAATTTGTTTCCAAATTTCCACCTCTTTTTTCAAAAGTCTTTTTTTTTTTTTTCATGGGACATGATGCACTCAAAGAGACAGGAAAATCAATTGCTCATAAAGGTGAAGAGAGGTCATCTCTTGTTAATAATCTCATGTTCATAATGTAATTTTTTTAATTGTACAGGACCATTTATCCATTAAGCTTTAGGAAATTGTGCATATAAATCTTGTATATAGACTATATAAAATATCTATGTGTATAATGATTTTTGTACACTCAGAGAGACTTGCATCTTTTAAGGTGGAGGAATTTGGTCGTAAACTTGCACTCCTGACGTTTCTATGTCACTTCGGAGACTAGCTAAAGTAGACTCACTACACACGGTTCTTTTAAACTTTTATGGGTGCAGAAGTGTCATTTACATTTTAGCAATGTCAGGTGGTTATTTTGTCTTTTATAGAGTATAGGTCTGTAAGATCACACCAATATATATTGAAAATAATCATCTGGTCTTTTTTAAAGGATGAGATGTCAGATTCTGTTTACCAATCACATGCTGGGCAATACGTCCTCAGTATTGCTGCAGGAATTGCCTCTTTACGGAGACATCTCTGAAAAATCAACAATTGACAAAATTCCCAAAATGTTCTTCCAATCTCTAGCACACATCTTTTTTGTCCAGCAGCTAGAGTGACGTTAGAGCTTGTAAAAAGGGTAGAGGGTTCATTTCCTTAGCCTCTGTCCCAATAAAATTAAGCTTTGATGGACAGTCTGCATTTTAAAATTTTAGTTTTTATTCTCGGTTTCAGCAGCTTATTTTCTAGGACAGATTTTAGGGTGAGTTTTTGGGAAATGCATTTGGTACATTCACCCAGCATGACATTACATTTCGTCTTGAGTTTCTGGAAAGGCACTGATTTTTCTGCCCACAAAGATCTCCTCCTGGATGTTAGCGTCCCTTTTGGCGTCTGACTAGGTGCTAATGTCTTAAATCTTTGACTGGTATGAGCAAAGAGAAGCTTGCTTAATTACCCGTCCCTTTAAGGAGTGAGCCAAGTTATGTGAATCATAAGCCATCTTAGTGTTGAAACCAAGTGTTTTTTCTTTCTTTCTGTTCATTACTTGATTTTGCTAGTGTTATGGAGTATGAGCGAAATCAGCCGTAAATTGTGCATAATGGAAAAACCGCCACAAGACGTTTGACTTTTTGATTTAATTTGTTTATTGCCAAAATACTTTAGACACTTTAATTTTCAGAATGGAAGTTAAGGACATGCATGTGCATTTGTTTTTAACAGTAACTGTGTGTGTGTTTGTGTGTGTGTTTGTGTGTGTGTGTGTGTGTGTGTGTGTGTGTGTGTGTGTGTGTGTGTGTGTGTGTGTGTGTGTGTGTGTGTGTGTGTGTGTGTGTGTGTGTGTGTGTGTGTGTGTGTGTGTGTGTGTGTGTGTGTGTGTGTGTGTGTGTGTGTGTGTGTGTGTGTGTGTGTGTGTGTGTGTGTGTGTGTGTGTGTGTGTGTGTGTGTGTGTGTGTGTGTGTGTGTGTGTGTGTGTGTGTGTGTGTGTGTGTGTGTGTGTGTGTGTGTGTGTGTGTGTGTGTTTTTTTACAGTATGGTTTTTGCCCCTTGTTCCAAATGTGTCTTAGAAAAAGTGTTGCTGATCTGAAATCATCCATTCAAGAGCTCTTTTATCATGCACCAGCCATATGCGCATTACCTCAGTTAGGCTACTTAATTTTCGTTCCATGCAGTATTCTTGCTGCTTTACTTGTCTTAGTTTTGATGATTCGGTTCAATCAAATATCATTTAAGGCCTATTTTTCTATCAGTTTATATAGATACAGACAGTTTAAGTCTTTTTTTTTTCTGGTTACCTCCAGCTGCTGAATTGTCAATGCATCTATCCCCCCCTTATCCCTCCACCCATCCACAGAAGGTCTGTGTGGGACATTAGTGTGATGATTCTCTGCTTTTGTTGATATCTGAAATGTTTAGCATGTAAATTCCACAATTAAGGATAATGTTAGGCAGAGTTAGTGTCAAGAAAAAATGTTTTTGCTCACATCCCTGAAATGCTCTGTCTGTGTGGGTGAGAAAGATGAAAAAGGAAAATAAAGAGCAAGAGGTTGAAGAATAAAACGGTACATATATGTTAGTGTTCAGTTATCTCTATGGAGACAGTGGAAATTACACACAGTTTCTAAGTTAGAAATCAAATAGGCCTATACAATTTAAGTGTGTCGTAAGATACCAATGCACAAGAAACACCCATTGTTTTGAGGATGTAATTATATGCCTGATGTGGTGCAGATAGCATGTTTTTCTTTTTCTACATACATGTATTCAAGTGTTTATGATTTTAAATTTTTAAAAAATCAGGCACTCATTGATTGTTATTGGAAAGTGTTTGTTTGATCAATATACCGTACATTGCACAATTTTTAAGTTGATTTTTTTTTTTTTTAATTGGTTTCCTCTTTTTTTCATTCTGTCCATTTGTTTGAATGAAATGTTGATGTTCACAAGGACTTCTGTGGCTTGTTATCTATGCAAACTGGTTTCTTTGTTTCTGAGTAAGTCAAGATGGTTAAAGTTTTTAGGACAAACGAACTAAATTTGCAATCTGGAATCCCATTTCAATAATTTACTTATCCCTTATCTATTCAATAATTTACTGGACTGTATGGAAACTCATGCAAAATAATGAATGTTGTCAAAATATTTTTCTATATTTAAAATGGAGGAGGAAAGTGGAACTGAATGGAGATTTAAATCAACCTTCAAAGACAAACAAACACTAAAAGGGAATGTTTTTATTAATTTATAAATGTTTTACCTGGCAATACCTTTGGCTTCTTGGTCTTTATTTCTCATGAGTTTATAAAGGTGAGATCCTCTGTTTTTATTTATGGTTTGATAAGATGTGATTGATTGCAAATACATTACACATAATGCTCTAGAATGGATGTGAAATATGAATGATCACATTTCCTGAATATACACTTCAGCCTTTCTCTGATCTGTTGCTCGGACTTCAGCAGAATATTTTTTCTTAGATGGTCTTTAAAAATAAATGACACGGAGTAAGTTCACTTTGGTTGGTGCATAGACTGGTTTGAAGCTGCATATTTGATGAAACCTTAAATATTGTCAGAACAATGACCCAGTTCACTCTGAGCCTCCATGCTCATTATTGAGATTCTGTCCCTGCCCGTATTTTTAGTCTCTTCCCCATCTTCTGATAGAAATCTTGCTCATCTTCACTGGATCATAGACAGAGGATGCTGCTACAGGGAAGAAAGTAGCTTCATGTCTTTCATAAGCATTGGGTCACACCGCAAAATCACTGTTGTAAAGATATTCAAAGATTTCTACTTACAAGTTTGCTAAATCAGCGTTTATTCTTATGCTGTGACAAAGTACACATTTCGAGTACATAAGTGCAGGATAAAGAGAATAAAGTTATTTTTTATGGCAAAACAGTATTATGCATTTGTACAAAAATATTCTTTTGTCTAACTTTGCATACATTGTTTCCAATTAGCCCACTAGATTTGTTAGTTTGGGGTCAATAATGGAAAACAAAAAAGAGTATTGTGTTTTTCACTAAATGAGGGCTGGGCAACGATTAAACGCGATTAATCGCATCCAAAATAAAAGTTTGTGTTTACATAATATATGTGTGTAGTGTGTATAATTATTTTGTATATATAAATACACACATGCATGTATATATTTAAGAAAAATGTGTTATTAATATATCAAATATTTATATATAATATTAATTATGTATAAATATATATAAAGTATATACATGCAAATATTTCTTAAATATATACATGCATGTGTGTGTATTTATATATACAAAATAATAATACACACTACACAAACATATATTATGTAAACACAAACTTTTATTTTGGATGCGATTAATCGTTGCCCAGCCCTACATAGCTAACATTTTCAGCTTTGATAGTAATGATGTTTCTTGAATCAGCATATTAGAATGATTTCTGAAGGATCATGTGACACTGAAGACTTCAGTAATAGCTGCTGAAAATTCAGATTTGCCATCATAAATTACATTTTAAAATATATTAAAACAGAAAACTTTTTACTGTATTTTAAAAAGACTTCTTTCAAAAAATTTTTTTTTTTTTTTTAACCTTACCTCAAACTTTTGAACAGCAGTGTATATGAAATGAAATTCTGGTATATTCATGAACACCTAGGCTCAATTATAGATTCATGTACTACCTGAACTAATCTGCAATTTAACCTATAATGTTGAATAAAGGAAGGCATAAACTAATCAATATCTTGAAATGCTAACCATGGCCATGGAAGAAATCATGCATTAATTACCACCTTATGTAGCTACACTTTAGTACATGTATGATAGTTATTGTATTCATTAACACTAGGGATAAACTGGTTCAAATGGGTTCCTTAACAAAGACGTGTGAATTAAACCATTTGAATCATCACACTTTTGCTCTCGAACACATTTGCAGTTTCATAATGAACATAATTGAATGGAGCTGGATTATTGCACTTCAACATTTACACAGACGACCCAGTGAGATGCAATCGCCCCCTTTTAATTAAATTATATTAAACGTGATCAAAGACATAAGGTTTGCCTCTTCACATGCTTTGTAATTGAGCCAATTTATTTATACATGTTAATTAATAACACTTGTACGTTCGATAGTTAAAGTGGCCATTGTTCACTTGAGACTATAGCTGTATCTGATGAACTTGTTGACTTGAATTCACCATTATTTCATATTGAAGTGTTAATCAATCTAGTACATAATTACTTATGTTATTAAGTGTAACTTGGCCTCCTGAGGTAATATGTGCATAAAGCAAGGTTATTTCAACAACTAGAAACAACTAGATCTTCCATTTGTACTGTGGACTTTTACAGTCTCTGTGCTGTATCAGAAGTCTTGATTAGTTAAATGCTCTTCATGGATGTACTTGTACAGTGTGAAGAGAACACTTTAATATACAGCCAAAGGTCCTCAAACTCCCACAGGATTTCCATTTTGTTGATTGGAGTGACTCATGGAGCTGGCTATCCAGCAGCTGAAATTTCTCTTCTCATGTCAGATCAGTCTAGTTAGTTAACTAAAAATTGTTTTTCCATGAGCGAAGACCAGTGCTTCATTGTTCATTATTATGTAAATAAATGCATGATTAATTAAAGTTTATAATATATATAGCCTATATATATATATATATATAATTTAAAAAAGGGTATGGTCTATATAGCCTATACGTTTGAATTGAATTAACTGCAGAAAATGATTATGTTGAAAAATACTAAGTACGAGGAATTTCATAACAGTGCTGTATTCGAAATATATTGTTTGCTGTATTGAAATAAACATATAAGGTGCAGGAGAAGTGTAGAACTATGATGGCTATTCAAATTCCATGAAGTCCCTGAAATTTGTTTAATTGCATGTTGTGATAAATAAATACCTTTAAATTTGGAATATAGTTTTAATTTTCCTCTTGATTCATTCTTCGCAAAAGGTGTTTTGGGTCTACTAAGATTACTGGTTGTTAATTGAATTCGTTTTGTACCGTTTCCTAGCAACAGTGGGACAAAACCTGCTTGAGAGACATAGGGCAGTGGCAGAGCAGGTGAAAGACACACAGGTAAGACTTACAAATTGAATACAATTTTTATAATTGAAGACAAAATATTTTTTTTGATTAGTAATAAACAGTCAAATACTAAGTTCTTTTCTGGTTAGTTTTGGGTTGAACATTTTTTCTTTTCCTTTAATGAATTGTCTTTTAAGAAATACAATGGAATTAAATGTTTCACAATGCTTTTAAAGTGCAGTTAAAGAATATAACTGTGAATTGCTTGTTACATTTATGTGGTTATAAATAAGTTGGAAATTATTCATATTGTTATCTGGCACTGCCAGTTTGCAGTTTTTTTAGTGGACTAGTTTGATTGCTTTTGCCTAAAGATAGATTTAGTTTGATAATGGTTATTTGTGTACTAAAAATGATTGTTTTTGCTGTTGTTCACTGTCATTCTTGTGCAAAGCCAATACGCAGAGTTCAACTGCAGCAAACCCCTCATAGATAATGTAAGAAGTAATATGAGAGGAAAAGACACAGGAGAACACATAAACACATGCACCATATCAAATGACTTTGCATGTACTGTTACAATAATGCAA